ACGTAACGCTCCATTGCACAATCGACGCGGCAGCCGGGAAGGCCTTCCCCTCGGCACCAGAAGTCTAGCGGATTCTCTGCCTTGTAACAGTCTGGCCAAGGGGGGCTCTCCCCATCATCATCATCCAAGCAACAGCAAGCGGGAAGGCTCCATGTCGCTGCCCCGGACGCGGCGCTGCCGGGAGAGTTCGGCTCTGGCCAGGGCCTCTCAGCCGCAGGGAAGTGCAAACAGAGCGATCAAGGCCTTCCCCTCGGCACCAGAAGTCTAGCGGATTCTCTGCCTTGTAACAGTCTGGCCAAGGGGGGCTCTCCCCATCATCATCATCCAAGCAACAGCAAGCGGGAAGGCTCCATGTCGCTGCCCCGGACGCGGCGCTGCCGGGAGAGTTCGGCTCTGGCCAGGGCCTCTCAGCCGCAGGGAAGTGCAAACAGAGCGATCCGCAGGCTCTCAGCTTGCTCCTGCTTCGGGTTCACTAGCTCAGTCCGCACCGAGCTCCCGCCACGGCGTCAGCTGGACCGCGGGCCGGGCACAGAGCTGCTCGAGAGCAGGGGTGTTAGACAGGCACGAGGCCGCTGTCCCTTTTGAACGTCCACCTCCGACCAGGAGCATGGGAATCGCTGGGAGGAGGAGACGGGCCCTGGGCGAGGAGCCCCATCCCCTTCCACTGCCCCCACGACAGGGCGGCCAGGCCACGCCCACAAACCCCTCCACCCCGCACGCCAGACTGAGGCCTCCCTGGCAGCCCCTTCGCGCCGGGGCCAGCATCCTGCGCCATTCAGCTATGCACACGGGCCAAGTCCAGCCCAGCCCCCGCCGGGCGTGGCCGCAGCCCCTCTGCTCCTTACCTCTTCTGGGGAGCAATTCCTACCGCCCTCCTAAGTGCATAGACCAGCTGTCCGGCCGCCTCACCCCATTCCCCTCGGGTCCGCGCTGAGCACCTTGCCCAGCGGGCGCGCGGAGGCTCTAACAAATCTCTGGAAAGGAAGAAGTTGAACCGGCCATTCAGCAGAGGGGAAATAAAACACAACACAAGTAAAAAGTGGATGCTTTGTCATTACAAAAGAGGCGCGGAAAACGAGCATTAACACATGGCGAGTGAGATTCCAAGCAGGCCACGGCCCTGCCCGCGGGCAAGGGCGCCTTCGCGGGGAGCGAAGCGTCGGGGGAGGGGCAGGCGGCTGGAGTTTGGAAATGGGTTTGTCTTTTCCCCGTGGATGGTAGGCACCAGTACAGGCACTGCATGCGACAGGAGGGGAGGGGCACTAGGCGTTATTTCTGTCCGCTGATGGACTGCGATATAGACCGAGGTGGGATCATATCTAACAGGTACTCCCGCTGGCGGTCTGCCAGGCTCGACGCTTTGTGGCCTCCGATCCCAGCATTCAGGTATGCAATGTTCACACCTGGAGGGGGAGAAAGCAAGGAGGGACCATTACTCCTATGCGACAGGAGGGGAGGGGCACTAGGCGTTATTTCTGTCCGCTGATGGACTGCGATATAGACCGAGGTGGGATCATATCTAACAGGTACTCCCGCTGGCGGTCTGCCAGGCTCGACGCTTTGTGGCCTCCGATCCCAGCATTCAGGTATGCAATGTTCACACCTGGAGGGGGAGAAAGCAAGGAGGGACCATTACTCCTGTAACACGGGACCCCCAGCCCCCCGGAGGGCACGGGGGGCCAGCACTCCCGGGAAGAGCCGGTTCCACACCCGCCCCCTTCCAGTCCCGGCAGCAGGAGCCGGCAACCTGCCAC